CCATTTTTCTCTAATACTGAAATGTATCCAGCTCTGAATCATTTAAGGAAAAAGTTCCTATACCATGGTTCTGTGTAAATTAAAAGGGGACACATCTGCGCAGGTTAAGGGAAAGGAAATGACCTGAACTCTTTATTGTAAAGCCTTTCTTTCAATAAGCTATTTTCAAGAAATTAAGTAATAGATGTTTGTTAATTTGCTATTATTTTCTAACACTGGGCCACATTCTATGGAACTTGCTTACAAAAACAAATTTTTTTTTTTAATTTTTAAGCATCCTCACCAAGGATATTTTTTCTACTGGTTTTTAGAGAGAGTGGAAGAGAGAAAGAAAAAAAAAATTGGTGTGAGAGAGACATAGCTATTGGTTGCCTCCCACACGCACCCCCTACTGAAGCTGTGGGTCAAAACTTGCAACCCAGGTGCATGCCCTTGACCAGGAATCAAACCCTTGACCCTTTGATTTGTGGGCCAACACTCTAACCATTGAGCCAAACTGACCAGAGCAAAATTTCTTGACAATAAGAAATACAATTTACATTGATGAATACATTCATTTATGATGAATATAAAATAATTGCAGTTAAGAAATTCTTATTAATTTTTCTTTCCTTCCTTTGTCTCTTCCCCTATCACTCTCTCCTGTCTTCCTTCTTCCTCTCCTTTCTCTTCTTCTGTCTCTCTTCTCCCCTCCCTCCATTCCATTTTTCTTCTTTTTTTGCTTAGTGCTGATCAAAAAGTTGACTTACCAAATAAAGTTTATGACTCACCAATGGTTAATAGCCTTCAGTTTTGAAAAACACTGTCTTTGAGATATAAAAGTTTCTGCCTTTTTGGTGCCTGCAGTCTTGTTAAATGATATGATCTATAACAAGATGGTTTCTTATGTAAAGATACAACATATTATAGAGAATTAAGTGCTTGGCTACATCCAGCAGGCATTAAATAATAGGAGTCAGGTCACAGAACTGGTAATGAAGATGCCTGTGCAGCAGCTGCAGACTGTGGAGAACCCCACAAATGGGCCTGGGGCTTCTCTCACTTGAGCCCCTGACATCAACATTTATGTCACCTTTTGCATTTTTCTTTGGCCTTTGCAGTGAGGGATCCCTTGGCAGTGACTAGGAATTACTTTCTCTGGAGAAGATCAGTTGAATCAAAAGCAGAAACAATATTCTCTCTAGTGATCTGTCTCAAATTCTAGAAAATCGCCTTTCACATTTGCTATCAGTCTTTTAACATGCCAGAGTCATTAAAACGGTATAATTTTGGCATTACCAACACAGCAGGCCAAAATTCACCCCATATTATATATATATATATATATATATATATATATATATATATTTTCTTTTTATTGATTTTTTAGGAAGAGAGGAAGAGAGAAGGAGAGAGAGAGAGAGAGAGAGAGAGAGAGAGAGAGAGAGAGAGAGAGAGAGAGAGAAATGTAAAAATGAGACATCATTCAGCTGCCTCCTGCCCACCCGGTACCAGGGATCAAACAACAGCCCAACATGTGCCCTGACTGGAATAGAACTTAAAACTTTTTGGTGCATTGGACGGTGCTTAACCAACGGAGCCACTCTGGCCAGGGCACCCCTTATATTTCAACCATATGTTTCTCTGTATGTCTGCTAGTGTTTCAGAATTTGTGTGAGACTGTTTTGTGGACAGCTTACTTTGGAGCCTCCAACTTGGGCATCATTGGAAAGTAACAGTCCCAAGAATAACCAAGGCCTGGTGCTCTTGGAATGTCTGCTTTTTGCCTCTGTGGCAGTCACATTCATGGGAAAATTTACCTTGTTGGTATTAGGAACCTAAATTTTCTGAGTGGTGCCTGTAAGGGATTACTTTTCTCTTGAGAGCTCATATTTACAATATGAAGTTAGTAATAACAACCTAGTGAGTAGATGAACTGAAGGAAGCCGTACTCTGAAAACTTCCATTTGCCATAGCCTGTTGATGATTTTAGGAGAGCAAAAGACTCTTTGCCCACCCTTCCCTCTTCGGCCCCCTTCACTCTCTCCATCCATTAGACAGAGCTGCCTAATGGCTCATATGTTTCCAGAATCGCACAGTAATGCTTTAGAAATAGCGGATATCTGAATGTCTCCATATATCCCAGACTGTAGAACTCTGATCTCTTCCTACTGGCAGAGGAATGCCAGAGGGAGATAGAAAAATCTACTATGAAAGTAAAAACTAGCAAAGTGACTAGGCTTCCACTAGTTTAGATTTAATGAAAAAATCAGCATCAAATACATTTTAACTTCTGCCTTTCCTCTACAGTGGATCACACTTTCTCATTGGGCCTCATGCTTATTATTATGTCAGTAGTCATCATTTCAGCGCTTTGTGTGAGGTTGCACTTGCCAAGGGTTTGCCTCACACCTGTCAGCTCCTGACAGCCAGTTTAGAAAGAATCAAAAGGTTAAAAATTGGCTCAGAATTACACAGCTTCTGAGTTCAAATCTAAGAATCTGAATTAAGAATCATGCTCTTAAAAACACTTCAATATTTGTCTTTAAACATTGACTTAAACTTAAAAAATTAGCTGGTTTTGAAATGAGATCCATTTATGGTATGACAAGCAGTGCTAATTTTCTCAAGAGGAATTGAACATGTTCCTAAATTCACTTGGCTGACATAAAAATAAGAGAATAATTGAGGGCTGAAGCTGACACTGATACATGAATCTTGTGATATAACCGAGTGAGTGCTTCAAGTTGCCCAGACTGAAAGGGAAGGACCGCCTAGTGCTCAGCTGAGTTCTAGCAGCTACTGATGCTAATGTATTTAAAAATGTCTGAGGGTAAACAACTTGACATGGTGTAATTGTCCATGGCGGGGAGGGAGACATTAGACATGGAAATGGTTTCCTCAATAGCATTTTAATTCTTCCTCTGGCCTAACATTTGATTGTGCTTCCAGCATGAAACTGATTCCCGAATCAATGGCGTCTCCCCCTGTGCTTCGCCTCAGCGATCTGCACTGGGCTACTTACTCAGTCCTGACACTGGCCCACAATTCCACCAAGCAGGTCAGTGTCCCCAAGACTTGGCTCCTCTACTCCACTGCTCCAGTCTGGGTCTGCCATCAGCTTGTGTTTCATTGGAAACAGCATTCTTACACATGGTGCCTCGGGGCACAAAGGAGCTTTCTTCTCTCTTTGGTCTGGGACGGTTCCACAAAGCCGTTTTAACAACATAAAACAGGGCATGCATTTTAGAATAATAGCTGTAATGGCTGTAATACGTGTACAGATATCGGGTGTAGCAGTGGGTTGGATTTCGGTGAAAGATGAAAAAAAGTACTCTTACCTTTTGGGATGAGCAACAATTTGAGGTGTTTTGTTTCGTTTTGTTTTGTTTTTGCATTGGGAATGATTCTGTTTTTTAGTAAACTTTCTCTAAAATGTCATATTTGTATATATTCAGAATATAATACAAAGAACAGTGTACCAAACATGGTTTTCTCTGCCCAGGTCTGGGAACTCAGGGCTCTGCTTTCTGCATCCCAGTCACCGCAGACATTGCCACCTCTATCACCAGCATCTGAGCAGAGGTCCCTCCAGCCTGTCACTGATCACAGAGAGGACCTGTCAGTGCTGCTAGTTAGGACTCTGTCAACCAGGAATTCAGAATGACATTATATTACTGATAAAATTCAAGTTTCCAAATTCTGCTGAGGACCACATACTTGAACCAATTTATTTTGTTTATCAGATATGTTTTGTTATATTAATCAGGAGAAAACCTAAAATATCAATACTGTTTTAATTTTTTAAAATAATAATTATTTTGCTATTGATTATCAAATAAATACATGAAAGTATAAAGTCTCTTATGAGATATCTCTAGTTTTGTGGTGAAAAAGAAATTGGTAGAATATTTTTCTCATACAAAAAAAAAAATTTGCAACACAAAATAATGAAATCCCAAACAATACATTGAAATAATGTGACTACATTCTGTATTTTGCACTCATGAATTTTCACTAGCATAGTTTTTTCCCACAGAAATATCTAGTCCACTTTATTTATGTGTGCAAGTTTATTACTGACAAATTAATAACAAAGTGGTTTTGGTATTTTCTCCCTAAAACTCATTCTCTACAGCAAGCATGTCAAACTCGCAGCCTGATTTTATTTGGCGGGTGTTATCCTTTGAATTTGGCATGCTTGCTCTACAGAATTACTTTCCCATTGATAGTTAGAGGCCACGGCTAGTATTTTCTCCTGAAGTTGGGTTTTGGTGAAAGGCCAGACATTAATTTCAGAATGTCTGTTCTTTCTGTGGGCAGTCCCAGCCGCTGAGGACCTGCTGGCCCCCACTTATGACACTAGCACCGACCTCACCGAAGTGATGGAGCAGATCAACAGCTCCTTTCCATCCTGTAGCTGTGAGTATAATGAACTAAAATCACTATTGCACCTTCTCCTTCCATTGTTTTTCCTGGCAGAGGGCCCTCTGTCTTCTTAGAGAAGAAAAATAAAAACCTATATTAGAACTGGATTGAATGTTAATTAAAAATGAAGCAGCCGGGACCGGTTTGGCTCAATGGATAGAGCATAGGCTTGGGGACTGAAGGGTCCCGGGTTCAATTCAGGTCAAGGGCATGTACCTTGGTTGCGGGCATATCCCCAGTAGGGGGTGTGCAAGAGGCAGCAGATTGATGACTCTCTCTCATCGATGTTTCTCACTCTCTATCTCTCTCCCTTCCTCTCTGTACAAAATCAATAAAATATATTTTAAAAAATGAAAAAAAAATGATGCAAACATGCTGTATGTCAGCAAAGCCCAAGAAGCTCAGCATAGATCCCATCCCACCCCTGGGGTACAGCCACAGTGCCGTCTTGCTCTTGGAGATTTTTCCTAAGCCTTGTGAGTGATAACCTGAAGGCAAATAAAATAAGTCTGTTTGTGTTGTGTATGTGTGTGTGTGTGTTTTAAGAAGAAATTCTCGTCAGTGTAAGCTATAGTAAGAAATGTGTATTACTTGAAAAGGGATTTTTCAGTCCAATGCCAAACAAGGCAAGAAATAGCCTTTTCTAATGCACTTTATTTTCCAGACATTGATCTCTGACATCATCAGACACAGGTACAGAAAAGGATTATTTTCAGGTTTTCCTCTTGTTTTCTTCTGATTTCTTTTCTTCCGGGATAAAGTAGTCACTGTGTAAGACCAGGCCATTAAAGGTATCACAGATGATAACCCTGTGAATTTTCCATATGAACAACCAAGAGCCACATAATAACTAAATAGAAGCAGCTCAATTCCTAGAGGAACTTGTAAATAGTTCTTATTTATTGGTTTTCTTCAAACATTTTTGTCTTCAGCATCTTGCTGCTTTGCAATTCCTGCTGAGCGCTCACCAAAAACACTTATTCTGTTTCACACAGAAACAGTTGACCTTAAGTACATATACATACTCTTTAATGCTACAATTACATTTTAAAAAATTGTTTAAAGAAATAGGAATATATTACTTATAATTTTTGATAAATTATTTGTGATTTTTAAATCTAGGCAGCCTCTAAAGACTTTACTATGTATATATACTATCATTTATCATATATTATATATGGGTAGTATACAGATAAACAGCCTCTCATCTTACCCTTTTCCATCTTCTTTTCGGAAAATGCTTATCCTAAACGAGGGAAAAAACATTCTCAGGAGTATAGATAAATAAGATATACTGACTTCATTTACAAAGTATTCTTCAATTTATGCCACTCTACAGTTTACAAAATTGATCATTAGCAGGAAGTGCAAACAGCTATTTGAAAAACAGTCATTTCTGAATATGTATGATTATCTGCCTAAGGGGCATATTACAGTTTCTACAGCACATAAACATCTTTATATTGGGGACTGCGTCATTTTCCAGGTTATTATTTGTAGTTCTACTTCTTGAAGTTTGCTGTATCGCATTTACTCTGACAGTCCCCACACTCAGCCCCTAAAAAAGCTTGTGTGTACTGTAGATATTTACACAGGCATTAAGTTCATGGACTATCAGATCGTTGCTTTTCTTCTAGGTTTTGTAACAGCCATAAAAGATGAACAGATTTAATTTTTTTATATTAATTATACTTCAAGGTTGAATTTTCTAGAGAATTGGGTTCTGAGGTTGTATGTTACTTGGTGACTAGATATAGTCTTCCTAAGCCAGAATTTCAAAATTAAGTTTACAAATGAAATTACTTTTTAGGTCAGCTTAAATCTAAATACATTAATAACTAGTTTTTAAAAATTATGTAATCAAATCCAATTATAAGTTTTTATTTAAATGTCATGATGGATAACTTCATTTTCCCACTGGGAAGATTAAGTTGTTAAAGTTTCCCCATCTATTTAGTACTCGGAAGGTTCCATAGGATTCATTTGCTTTGTTGTCCCTTTTAAGTTGCTAAGCTAGCAAATATTTTAATAAGCCTGCAAATTCCCGAAGCTTACTGACAACCTTTGGAGAATTTTTCTAAGCAAATCAGCTTGGCACCTTACCAGTGCCAAGCCAATCTCATGAGCCCCTGTAACTAATGAGAACTTTAAAATTACTTGTCACTAGCATACAGTGAATTGATCTCCTTGTTAATCTTGACTTTTGATCCTTTGTAGATTAAAAATTAGCATGGTCACAAGTTAATTTTTATTCCTGGCAATCTTGGAATTAAAATGAAACTGTATGCATAAACCCTAATTACATGAGTTGCCTACTTAAACAGGACTTTTTTTTTTTAATTTCACTGTATCTATATATTGTCGCATGTAACACCTTAGAATTCCTCTGTCTTAGAGCCCTTTAAAGTCTTCTTTTAATTATTTACATTAAGTTTCAGAGCAAAGAGGCAAGGAGATAATGAAGGGAATTTAATTGTGTTGTTTATTAACCAACATACACACTAAAATTTCCACTGACTGATGTAACTGTTTTTTACTGTAAAGTGTTTTGTTAGTTTTCTCATTTATGTTATCTAAATATATGGGATACTAATAGTCAATTGAGTATTTTTTGCTTTAAAAGCAAGAAATGCTTTTAAATTTATTTATACCTACAGGCATATTTGCATTGCGAATTGCCTACATTTATTAAGCTTGAGTGACATTTATAAAAAACACAAAACCTACAAAAATGCAATGATTTTCTGATTTCTTAAAAATATATTTGTTATGACTTGTTCAGGGGGGTATGCATAGCCTTTTATTTGATAAAAAGCTATGGAGTTTTAAATGTTGGTTTGGAGCAAAATGGATTTGATTTCTGTTTGGGTTTGGTTATTCGTTACTTAGAAGCATAACTCTCCCATGTGGTACTTAATACTAATGCAGCTAAGCTCTCCCTTGGGTGTAGCTCACGTGAGTGAGGAATTTCACTCACTTTCTTCCTGTTTTAACTTACATGCCCCTTAGGACTAGGCTGTCCTTAGCCTGATTCTGCCCCCTCCTACTACTGGGGCGCACTCTCCTGTGCAGGCGTCATAAGAAGGTTGTCCGTGTTTGCTCTTTTATTCTCACAGAGCTCCTAGCACTGGCTGTGGAGTCACAGCTATCTTTCTCCACCTCCCCCCGGAACAGAAAAATGAAAGAGGGAAGGAATGAAGCAGGCTAGATGACTAGGGACGATTCTTTTTTCTTTCTTAAATATATTTTATTGTTTGTGTGTGTGTGTGTGTGTGTGTGTGTGTGTTTTTTCAGAGAGGAAGGGAGAGGCATAGAGAGCTAAAAACATCGACCAGTTGCCTCCTGCACACCCCCTACTGGGGATGTGCCCGCAACCAATGTACATGCCCTTGACCAGAATCGAACCTGGGACCCTTCAGTCCTCAGACTGAGGCTCTATCCACTGAGACAAACCGGTTTCAGCAAGGGACAATTCTTATTTGACACAGCACAGATGTTGCCCCACTGGAGGGGGGGGAGGCTCTCTCTCCCCAGTAGGGTTGAGTAGGAGAGATTCATTAAGAGGTATGTCAGTGAAAAGGAGAGATGAAAAAGCAGAGGCTTTAAAAACAATATTGCTAGTGGCTGCCCTCACAGTGCCCACCAGAGCAGCTACACTATCCGATGCCCTCTGTAACCAGGAAGGAATTGAGCCACAAATCAGATGCAGAGGTGAATTAGATGCCAACTTCTAACTTCCAATGCTCTTAGCTGGAAGGTACAACTGGTAGCCCAAGTTCCTTGGAGACTCTCAGGGATTAGTCCAGCCTTTCCCTTGATGTAAGCCCGTTGCTACCATCTTCCTAGCCTTCAGGGCAAGGGTGAGGGGGCTTGGAAGAAATGAAACTCATGCACCTTCATTTCCCCAATGACTTCTTGGTCAGCACTCTTACTGCTCAGCAAATTATACAGATTTTGCTCTGTTCTGACACAAACCAAATACACAGCAAGATTTCAATGGGCAATTTTGAGACTTCTTTTTTTTCTTTCAAAACTAAAAACTCACTGAATGCTTTAGTGTGCACTTTTTTACACAGCCAGCATATGCTTTGCATATTTTGGTGGAATTTGTGTATCTTCAAGCACCGAGATATCAAAAACTAGGGAAACTAGCCCTTGTTAAAGGATCTAGCAAAAAATAAATTAAGAAATAAAGAAATAAAGAAATAAATTTAAAAAAACAAACAGTTTTTTATTTTATTAGCATCCATTTACCATGCTGAAAAAAAGCACACTTTCCCATGCCTTAGAGGGGGAACCAGCCAAACAACAGTACCACCTTCAACTTATTTATTTTGTTTTCTCTTTCAGCAAATCTCCCCAGCGGGAGTGGGCAACAGGTAAGAGTTCATGGTTTTGTTAACATAAATTCCAATGGAAATCAAAAGAGAGCTTTGTTCACATATGATATGCAAATCAGGGACATAGCCCTCAGTATGAACCAAAGACATAGAGATGGGCAAAGTGTTTAAAGGCAAATTTGCAAGGAAGTGATGATCACAGAAACGGATTGCTAGGGGAAACAAGAGCACAAACTTACATTATTCATCTTCTGATTGGTGGGAGCAACTGAGCTTTCATTGGTCAGCTGGTTCAGTGGTGAGCAAGTGGGGCTATGAGAATGTGAACAATGGCTAGCATGATTGGGCATTTGTCAGCATTCCAGTTCAGGTTCAGGCTCGTAGAAAAAAGCTTTGAGGTGACTTATCAACCAGAATCAGACAGCAGATAGAAGTTGTTCATTCCAAGTCCACAGAGCAAAGTCAAGCACTGTAAGCAGCCTCAGAGTTCAAACTGTGAAACTCCAAAAGTTGGGCCACTATTATATTGAAGTTCCTATAAGTCTTCAGATTGATTGGCTCCCGAGTTGACTATAACCTAGAGTAGACAGATTAGCCACTATCAGTTTTAGTGCTACTTTATTCCCCATGTAAATAAGTAAACTTGCTTGACATTTAAATGTTAGCTGATTTAGTACAAGGGTTTGTCAGTCTGGGGGGGAGGGGGCGGGGAGGGACCCCTCCCAAGCCAGTTCTCCCAGATGCCCCAAATATGCAGTGCTTGATCCTTTGGGTTCTGATAGCTTTTTAACGGCCTCATATGTCCTATGTACGTTAGCCTGGATGGATTTGGCTGACCATTGTTCTCCCAGATGTCCACTTAAGGGGGCTATCACAGAACATTGATTAAAGACAATGACCAAAGAGTACACAGAGGTGGCTTTGTTACTTTTGGAGGGAGGGCAGAGGGAGGAGTTGACTTTTCATTTAAAAAATTGCTGAGGTCTGTTGGCAGCCACAGGCGTATATCTTTCAGTATCTTCCATAGCATATAGGTACTCTTAGTAATAATGTGCCATAAGACCACAGATCTTTGGAGGACATTTTTCCTCCATGAACTTTTTTATTGATCTTTTTGAAACATTGAAACATCTTCTGATTGTCTTCCTGACAAGAGGGGTTGGGATCTTAATGAGAAGCACAGGCAGTTTGTCTTCAGTAACCAAGGAACATAAAGCAGATAAGGGGATGTGTGTGAGAGAGATGCTGAGACAGAAGGACCTCACCCCAGGGAGCAGAATTCCTCTCTGATTGCTTCTGGTGTCTTAGCCAGTCAGAAGCCAGGATCCTTCAGCTCAGTGAGGATGAGAGGGAGTAGCATAGGTGTGAGGTAAGACTGGAGGAGGAGCCACATAGACCCTGGAACAGGGTGTGACTGATTGCCAGGCAGCATTATAGGGCACCACATAAGGTGCCTGTTAGTGAATATAATGTGAGGTCGGGGTGGGGCTGCGTGTTGCCCTCCAGCCACATTCAAGTTCATGAGCACAGGCACCAGAGTAGGCCCAGGATTACAGTTAATTGAAGTGGAAGTTGTGGTTTGGCCAAGAGTATGCAGAGCAATTCAAGGAAAGAGTTAAAGGAGTGATGATAATGATTGAACCAGGCATCTAAGTTTGATAGGAAAAGAAGTGAGGGTGTCAGGTGTGGCAGACAGGAAGAAGGTGGGAGAATCCATGCATTGTAGTATCAAAGGATAAATGAAGTTTGGCCTTAGCAGAACTTAGCTGGAAGGATAGAGGTGGCTGTCAGAAGGTGAGGTTACTGAAATTGGAATGTTGGAACAGATGCACGCATTTGGTAATGGTCCATATTTGGAACTTTGAGTTGAGTGGCCAAGATGAGTGGAGTACAAGTTAGGTGGAGGCAATGACCTCAAAGAACGAAGTGTGGGAGATTTGAGGTGCTTGCACCAGCCTAATTTACTCACCTTTGGTGCCTCCCACAAGAAAAAGACAAGTTCTCTCAATTTTAACTTGCTTTCTAGCCTGGCCAAGAGCAGCCTTCTAGACCTCCTCTGTATTGGCCACAGGGATAAAGGGCAGACAAGGTGACTTCAGGAGGAGAGGAAAGGGCCTCACCCAGGGAACAGAAGTCACATGGGAGGCAAGGGTCCCCTCTGAACATAGCAAAATAGGATACGTGTTCCAAAAGGAGCACTTCTATTTCCTTGAAGAGTTGACAGGCTTCTGCTACCTGTGGTGGTTTCTGTAAATGTTGTTCTGACAGCATGGTTTTCCCTTCCCGCAGGCAATGTGAAATATTCAGCCAACAAACATTTCCTGACCTTCAGTATTGCACTTTCCAGCAAATGCCACTCCCAAGCCCCATTTAATCAGAAGTTCCATGGCTCCTTGAGAAGGCTGCTGAGTACCAATCTATGTTCTACTGAAGGAGTGAAGCACCGACTATCCAAAGAGAGAAGACAATTTTGTTCTTATGATAAACCTATATCATTATTTGCTCCTTCCCTTTCTATGCAACTGTAAATTAAGGAACAGAGCAGTATTGGGGAATGGTAATACATTTTGTCACCGATTTGTATACTGTACACAGCATTGGGAAGTGGGTGGGGGCTTTCTAATGTGATGCTTCTTTTTAATAACTGTGACAAAAACTTGCATAGGAACTAGGAGAGAGTTTTACATTCCTTTTCCATTAACCTTGTGCAATAACTTTATGTATTTCTTCAACTCTTTTACCTTGGTGGTTATTTATAAACTCATTAGCCACACGACCAAGTATATTTCCTATATTTGTTTTCATGATTTGGCCAATTAACAGATTCATATAGTTCAGTCAATTATATTACAGGTGCATGGATAGGCTACAGCTCTGTGCATACTTTTTAACTTTATTTGACATGATACACTTAATTTTTCTTAGCAACCACTTGGAAACAACAACAAAAAAAAATGTGGCTCTAACAAGTGTATATTTGGTGTCTTCTTTGTTCTTTGAAAAAGTTATGTATTAGTTTTTCCTTGCCTGTAATTGTGTTATCTGCTATTAAGGAAAAACTACATAAAACACTACATTGTAACCTTGTAAGAAATATTATATAAAAAGAAATATAATGCAGTAAAATACAAGGGGAAATAAGTATGTAGTTCTTTGGAAATATGTGATAAAGTACTAACCATAGACTGTCATCTAATATGGTTACATGTATTTTTCATCTCAAATAAAAGTAATTTTAACACAAGATGACTTTGATATTCTTCTTAAGCGTTTACTGAGAGAATCTGAAGTATGAATGCACATTTATGAAAATAAAATAAAATAAGATTAATCTCCTGATAAATCCACATATTTTCCTTCAGTTTCTCTTATACACATTATTACATTCTCTCTTGCTCTGTGTTCCTCTCTTCTCTCTAGAGGCTCAGTGCACAAAATTCGGGTGTGGGGAGGTGTCCTTCAGCCCAGCCTGCACTCTCTCCAATCTATTATAGGACCCCTCAGCGGATATCCTTGGGGGATGACCTCTCTGGGACCCCTGTAGGATCGGGCCTAAACTGGCAGTCAAGACATCCTTCTCACAATCTGGAACTGCTGGCTCCTAACCACTCACCTGCCTGCCTGCCTGATTGCCCCTAACCTCTCTGCCTGCCAGCCTGATAGCCCCCTAACTGCTTCCTTGCTGGCCTGATTGATGCCTAACTGCTCCCTTGCCAGCATGATCATCCCCAATTATCCTTCCCTGCCAGCCCAATCACCTCCAACTGCCTTTCCCTGCCAGCCTGATCACCCCCAACTGCCTTCCCCTGTGGGACTGAGGGGACTGGGGGACTCCAGATGGATGAGGCGAGGCAGAGGGGACTGAGGGACTCTGGCTGGATGAACTGCTCAGCTCCTGCCGCCCCCTGGCGGGGCTAAGGGGACTGTGGGACTCCAGCTGGACGAAGCAAGGCTGAGAGGAATGCACACTGCCATCTTATGGCTGTGGGTGCCGCCATCTTGTGAAAGCATGGCAGTCAATTAGTATATCCCCTCTTTATTGGCTGTAGATGCTGCCATCTTTGTGACAGCATGACAATTAGCATATTCCCTTTTTATCAGAGAGTATTCTCAATTTCCTTTACAGATAGAAGGCTTTAGTCATATGGGGAAAAAATGTTGGATATTGAAAACGTACCTGTCTATTGAGCTTTCTTTCTTTTAATAACTTGAGTGATTACCTTTTCAAATCCACTTTTAGCCTCATGCTCTTAAATAATGTGTTTTTTATATGTGCTCTGGATTTTAACCACTTTGGCAGTAAGTTTAATCCATTTCTAAAGCCATCCTGTGGGAAGTGGTGTCAAGAAACTAACGTGTTTGTTACTTGATTCTAAAGTTAAAAGCTACTTGTGAAGCAGAAAAATCCCAAAACATATAATTTGTTAAAATAAAGAAAATTGGTACTCTCTAATGAACATGCATTTTAAATACCCTGTCTAACCCAAAGTAATATTCACATCAAGTATTCCTAAGGAAATAATTGTTGGTTTCCAGTAACCTTTTGAGTAAATGTTTAAAAATGGAAATGAGAACAAATGGAAACATTTGGTTTTTATGCTAAGTCTTCAGCTTGTTACTTTTTGATATCATTGAGATTACTTTTTTTTTTTAATTTAAAGAATGTAGTTTGCTTTTGGATATCTCCCCGGCCACTACCACCACCATTCAACTCTCATAGATGAAGTTTTTGAGAGATACTTCTTAATTCATTAATTGAGAACTTAATGAAAATACTATATGACACCACACTGCCTAGCCCTATAAGCAGAGTCCAACCACTTCATTGACATGCATTACCAGCTAGTGTTTCTGTGAGGTCAATTAAGTGACAAGAGTGAGCTTGGTGGTGGAGGCTAGGAGCCAATCCCAATCACATTATGTCCACTGCCACTAGTAATAGTTTTCTATTGCCATAGTGATGCTGCATGACAGCCATAAAACCTCAATAAAAAAGCATTTCTTCTGACCATGGGATATGGGATTCAGCTGATGTGGAAAGGACCATTCTGATCTCAGCTGGACTTGTTCACATGCCTGGGGTTGACCAACTGTTCAGAGATGAGAACTGGCACGCCATCACTTCTACTGAATTCTGTTGGTTAAAGCAACTTGAAGGCTACGTATAGGGAATAGATTCCACCTCTTTTGTGAGAAAGACTGTATAGAACAGGACACAGGGTATAGCTTCAAAGAGGAGCCCTCAGGTTTCACCATATAAACCTGAGGTATGCAAAGGAGAGGACTTTGGTCAGAATACTAAAGCATCCATTTCCTTCGGCATTATGTTCATTGTCTCAATGGAATGGGAAGGAAGTAGTCTTTTTAACAGGACTATCTTAAAACAAAGATCAGGAAGACCAGACCCTTCATCCTTCAGAAATCCAATTTCAGAAACAGGTAAGGAAAATTAGCATGTGTCTGCCAAAAATCTTATGAAAAGGAGATGCTCACAAGATAGATAGTAAAATAAGAGGAAACACACACACACACACACACACACACACACACACACACACACAAATCCTAGATAAGAAATGGAATAAAGAGGATATTATAAACTAGAGGCCGGGTGCATGAAATTCAGTCCCTCAGCCCAGCCTGCACTCTCTCCAATCCAGGACCCCATGGGGGATGTTTCACTATCGGTTTAGGCCTGATTTCACAACTGGCAGTTGGAGAAGCCTCTCACAATCCAGACCACTGGCTCCTAACTGCTCACCTGTCTGCCTGCCTGATTGCCCTAACCACCTCTACCTGCCTGCCTGATCATCCCTAATTACTCCCCTGCTGGCCTGATTGCCCCTAATGGCCTCTGCCTAGGCCCACACCTGGGACGCAGAATTCCCTCCCTCTGGCTGGCTGCAGGCGCCTGGGACGAAGGGGTGGGCAGCTTCTCCCTCTCCCAGGCTGCAGCCACAGGCAGGCATTGGTGCCTGGGCCCACGGGAGGGCGGCTTCACCAAGGGCCAGCTTTGTCAGGAAGGTCTTCCAGAAGTTGTCTGGTCTAATTAGCATATTACCCTTTTATTGGTATAGATAGTTCAGATGAAATTTGTTCAAACTGAATTGTTAATTTTTAGCCAGAAGAACACCCAATACATAGGAGGTTCTTAACTTTTGCCAAATGAGCAAGCATATGTGATATTGTATTCTTGCCAAGCATTTATTTAGAAACATACAATTTATTCTCACTTTATGTAAGTTTGGAAAACCACCCCCTTCATCCTTCAGAAAGAAATGCTACTAACCTCTCATTTTGAAGATTCCAATTGCTGACATAATTTTCATATTTTAGAGCATGCTTCAGACAGCTTACAGTGTATGCTTGAGTTCAGATAGCTTATTCTCACAGACAGCTTATTTCTGGCACTGTTTTGAATTTTTAGTGTGCAAATTCATGAAACATTCCATATTTTCATAAAAGAAAGAAAATACAAAAGAAGAGAAAAGTCAATTAATAATTTGCCCTCAGCCTATCTCAGTCTTCATCCAGAAAGTACCAATGTTGAATTTGTAATTAAATAAGAGTTCCCAGACTGCCATGGTATGCAATTACAATTAGTTCCTGATATTAGATTTTAGACCATTTTTCAGAAGTATTAAAAATTGATTCTTACTCAAATCAATTTTTTTTTCTTATAAAATGACATTATAAAACTTTTGGCGAGAACTGAGTCCTTCTAGTGTAAATCTGGCCTGAGCGAGCCTGTCAAAATCTAGAGCAGTCTCATTCATTATACTCTGAACCTCATGAGCCATGGGAAACTAGACAACCACACATGCTACTCGGGATGTCTGCAAGGATAGTTTCAAAAGCTCACCCCCGCCCCCCATAATCCTGCTGTACCCTGTTCTATTCCCACTTCCACCTGCACCAAGCAGATGTATATTGTTAACGAAGCCTAATATAAGATGCTGCTTAGCACAAAACAAAATGTATGCGGGAAGCCAGATCTCCAAAATGTCATGGAGGAATTAATAAAATTAAAAAAGGTAAACGGGGTTTTAGGATTAAACCATGAATGTAAACCATGAATCAAAATCCTGCCTTGACTTGAAATTTACTGGCTATAACTTCCTGAATGACAACATATACAAGTGCCTGGGAGATGCATGGCACTGTTTGTTGCTGAAAACAGAGTAAGGGGAAAAACCTGTGTAGGTGTGTGTCTGTGTGTGTGGGGGGGGGGGTTGGGGGGGTGCTCACCTAATGGATGAGTCCAGTGATGAGCAATAATAATGAAGCTGGAAAGAGGGTTAATAGGTCCTTAAGAACATATACTGCACTCTATATTCACATAGGATATGTACCCAAATATAGGGATACAGTTCAAGAAAACAACAACAACAACAACAACAATGTATGGAATTAACCATCCCCTAGAGAGCCATATCCCCAAGACTTCACTGGGATGTTCCAGCGTGGTTACTGGTGATGTTAAGAGTCCTAAGAAGATATCGCAGTGATCACTTAAAATGCCCTGGATGTAGCACTACTTCCCCAGTAAAAGAATCCCCTGGTTAAACAGTTTGGAGAAACACTACATGGTCTAATTCACTTGGAGATTGACAATGCACATGAATATATTAAAAGCTTTGAGAAATCCTGAAGTAAAGCAGCCTGCAGAATTGTGCATCGCTCTGCATTTGTGAGGGATTTAACCTCAGAACCCTTTGCCTCTTGCCTGTTAACATCCTGCAGTGTGCACTTTGTCGAATTAGTGTCATAGGTTTTAATCTTGCAAATACATCTAGGTGGTAATCCCATGAAGTCTAGAAAAAAATGACTAGTGAATAGTAAAACAGTTATCAGTCTCAATTCAGGATTTTTATATGCAAAGTAGTCTTGTGCGCCAACCACTATATTCCTATCACTAAAGAGATATGCTAAAACCTGGATCAGGATCCAGGCAGTTTGCCTTCAGCTCGG